TTTGTTGTTATGTGTACAGGATAAAACAGGTCTGAATGAGAGCAGACAAATCTGAGCTGAACTGAGGTCTAAGGACAAGGTCTGAGTGAATGTGAAAGTATTCGGTCGTCTGTTCTGGTAGATTCCTTTTGCCACTGTGTGTGGACGTATTCAGGCATCTGTTCTGGTAGATTCCTTCTACCACAGTCCACCCGGCATACGCTTCCTGTAAAACACGGTTCTTTGTGTGAATATGACGAAGTCCTTGACTATACAAAGTTTGTGATCAGGGAGGAAATACGTTTGACACATGGACCATAAGCATGGTGGTTTACCTGGTATGCAAATGAGGCAGCAGAATGCTTGTTTAGGGGTACCTTTTGGGGCTGGCTTGTCTGCTAATGGTACATTTGTGCACAGACATGAAGAAGGGACAGAGGTCAGCTACTCTGTCACCTGCCGGAGATCTGAGGGACAGCTAGGAGCCTCAGCCCTGAACTGCGGACAGAGTTTGGAAAGGAAGCTAGTGTAGTGGAGTAGGGTGGGAGGGAGGGAGTCAGGGACAGAGAGAGGGAGAGAGGAGGAGAGTGAGAGGGAGGGGAGCTGAGGTAGACTTACAGACCTCTGTGAAGTACTTATTCGGCCATGGGAAATGCTTTCACGGGAAATTTCAGAGTGGACAGATGACATGATCTGAAGTTTGAGAAAGACGACTCTCCCTCCTGTAGGGAGGATGGAATCTGTCCTTGAACAGCTGTGGCCTTGAACTTATAATTAATTCTAGGTTTTGTGGGCCATGCTTCAATGTCACAGGTAACCCCAGAGCATCTTCAGTGTGGAGGCAGATGAGGTTAGCTGTGGGTCTGTCATGATCAGTTTCAGGGAAGGTAATTGATCACCTACAAAGGGTGATCGAGGCACAAAGATACTCTCCAAGGTGACGGTGGACTTAGAATGAACTTGCCTATGTCTGGACTCGGCTTCCATGGATTTTTATGGTTTAGAATTTCAGATACGACCATTGGCATCATTTTCCTCTGTCGTGGGGCAGCTCAGAATTCTTAGCATGCTTACGAAGGGGCCAGTTCATTTTGTTTCAGCGCTAGCAGAGGAGAAGGGATGAATTCCCTGTCCTTGAAGGAACAGGCGGAGAATGTAAAAGATGCACGGGGTATCTGCTAAGGCGCATGCATTTCGACATCTGAAACTGTGGGAACGAGAGCTAATAGGGAGAACTACGGGCAGTGTGGGATGGACAGGTTGGCGTTTATGTTTTGTGGCTTCACCCGGGTTTTAAGCTTGTGTACTGGGCATCTCATTTCGCACTGCCCAAATTCCTCCTCAGGCCCTGCTGGCTACAAAATACCTGATACTTCATAAAAGAAAACAAACAAAATCCCTAAAACCTTCCCAACACACAGTCAGTGGAAGCTCTTGAATGAATCCCTATATTACTTATTTCTCTAGAGATTTTTGTTTTACCTGAACTGGGTAATAATGAATGCAGAAAACTTTATTTTTAAAAAAATAATCACAAAAGTAAGCATGGCATCCTAGATTTGGGTTTAGTTGACAAAATATAGCTCTTATTGCATTACCATTATGAATACCTTACTTTTTCTTAGAATCTGAGTTTATGATAAGGAGTCTATAGAAACTTCCAACTTCCTTATTTAAACCATATGGGCAGACTGTGCTTCAAAATGATTGAAACTCTTTTATTATTATTTTGTAATAATATTTTATAGTATTTATGACTCGGACATTTATTGACTTCTGTTCGTATCCTATCTATGAGAGCCTGCGCTTTGGCATTTAATGGTCTGGTTTATTTACACCATTGTTCGGCTTTCTGCAGTGCACTCCATTGTCTGTGCAGGCCTCATGGCAGGTGCTAATACGTAAGACTTAAGGACCATAAGACTCCATTAGAAAAGGAGGCTAATCAGAAAAACTGAAGATGCCAGTGCAATTGGTGATAAGAGCTCTGTGTGTCCCAGTCTTGGCTCTGTTTGAAATCAGGACAATCATAAAGGGTTGCACTTGGAAAAATGTAATTTTTTTCCTGAATCATGGACAATTTCATGATCCAGATGTCACACAATCCACAGAATTTGTTGCATCAGAGCATGAGAGAGAAAGACACAAGGAGCTTTCTGGAGTTGATTTCCCATGAGAAAGAAGAAGGACCTCAACCTAATTAAGAAGTGATCCTCTAAGACCATCAGAGGTGATGTGAGGGAATATCAGAATGTTTTCCTTCACAATGACCTTCAGAAAGCAAAAGTCTGGCCAAGGCCAGCACACAGGGTGGTCTCTCTGCCATGAGGTTCAAAGCCTCATCTCCTCTTCCTTCCACATAGTTCTTGGGCCTATGCTTTGAGTTTAACTACTTAGCTTAACACATCAGAGAAGGCGGTAGGTATGCAGTTCCTATTGGAAATTAATGACATTCAGAAAGCTTCCCCACTCTTTAGATGAAAACACACAAATAACACCCAGTTTTGTATAAATAAAGCTGCCCCTCTTTCCCAGTAGATAATGACGTAAAAGGCATCGATAGAAGGTTGGCTCACTGGGTTCTCATGTGTCCTTTCCCTAGGGGTTCAGAGTCCACGTTTTGGAGTCCAGGTCCTATGGCAACGGTGCATCAAAGCGAGGACTCCTTTGCATAGTGTGCTCTGCAACAGATGAGAAACCAAGGAGTTCACAGATAGTCCTCTCATCAAAGAAAAGTTTCGCTCCTTAATTATTGATTATGCTATTAGAACAAGAAAATGCTGTTTTAAAGATGATATATTTCAGACTCTAGACTTATACAATGACTCCACCCAAACTAGAGTGAAGAGCTCCTAAGTAATACATCACAAATACGGAAGCCCGTAACACTACTTCCAGGAGTGTGTGAGAAGGGTGGGCCAGCAGACAGGCCAGGTGCTGGCTACCGCCCTGACTCACTAAGGCAGCTTCACCATTGATTTGGCGTGAGTCGTCATGGTCAGGATAACATGACTGCTTAGACTCGATCTTCATTCAGTGACTGCTTTATAACTATTGTTTATTATTATTATTTTATTGTAAGCCATATATCTTTGAAGTTTTTGGTTAACATTCACTGCAATGATTTAATTATGATATTTACATCCATATATAACACACCCTTTTTTTCCGGTTCACTCACAGCCCTCCCTTCCTCCCAGCTCCCTTCTTACTGGTCCGTTTCTTCCTCACAAACCTGCCCTACTTTCATGTCATGCCTCTGCCGTGACCTATGTTTTCAGCCTTTCCCATCTCTTGAGACCTTTTTCTTCCACTCACATATAGCTGCACACATATGTAAGTTTGCACCTAGATCCCACATATGAGAGAAAGAACATGTGGTATTTATCTATTGGAGTTTGGCTTATTTTAGTAAATCTCGCAGTGTTTGGCACCCAGGACAAACTCAGATGTACCGCAGAAATGCTGCTGAGTCAGGCTCCATCCCTTGCCCTAACATCCTGACGATTGCCATTGCTCAATCAACCAACCTGTTTGATTCAAATTCCCAAACCATAGCTTATTTAAACTTTAACTATGCAACATCACGATGACATTAATGATAGGTGAGGTTCATGTCCTCCATTCACAAATGTCCCAAACTGACTCAGTAGCACATCCAGCTGCAACTGAGTTGTCAAGAAGTGGTGTGAACTCCAAACTGCAGTGTCCTGAGTAAATGTTTCTGTTTGTACATTGGGTAAGTGAAGAAACTTAATGTTCAAACAGAATTGTAAACAATATATCTGAGTTATACAATGTTCCCCTTTCTGTTTGTCTTAATATTTATTTTTGCCACTGAGAGACACCTGTAGATATCACAGTATTTCTTCCCAAACCACCAGTTACCTCAAAGAAATTTATTAAGCTGGTCAAGATGGCGTCATCGTTGTTTCTCTCAAAGCATAGTCCTTGGATTAGCCTGCATCATGATGCCAGAATGAGGAAGAAGAGGCGAAGGAGGGAAGAGACATGGAAGCAGAGGGGGAAACAGGAGACAGATGCACAATGTTTCCACTCCCGAAGGCAGGTCTCTGTCCCAGGTTATCACAGGAATTTCTGCTGACCACAGGGTGAGGAGAAGTTGTAGCAGTAGTGAGGTCAGACACGGGCCGTCAGGTGACCAACAGTGAGGAGACAGTGTTGTCAGACAGTAAAGACAAACATAGCCAACTTTACAGTTGACCTCAGCTTGGGCTTCGGTGAAGAAACATGGAAAATACGTCTTATCGGCCCCACCATGCAGCAATAGCTATCATATTTAGTATACAGGCACTTGCTGCCCCGGGGGCTCAGGTGACTCTATACATTACTTCACTTCCTCCTCTTGATACCTTTGATTCCATCTCTCTTTTGACAGACAGGTAAAATGAGGAAACAGCATGGAAGAGAGGACTTGAACCTGGACCCCTGTGTCTTGAAGGTCCACGGTAGTAGTCAGTGTTATAGAACAGAAACTCATGCGAGAATGTGCACTGTCCGACTGATAGGAACTCCATGACAGCTTATGTCCATATGGGGCGAGCACTAAGGTCAGATCATTAGATCTCCTAATGGACGGGACACTCAGGGTGAGGCAGCATGCGTAGGTTCAGTAATTTAAAAGGGTAGTAGTGATCGGTGTCATGAGTGAAAGAACAGACATTTCTAGAAAACGACAGGCACCTCGGTTGCTTCTCTAGTCCCGCCATCCATCGTGTGTGCACTTGGCAACTGTCACGGCTTCTGGCTGCTGTCTATTTTCCTGGAAGTGCTGCTTTGCATGAATCTCCTCACTTCATGATTGACTCCCGTGTGTTGTGCTTTCCTTCAAAAATCATAGCTTAGAAGCTGTTTAATCTTTACGTATGTTTGGAAGCAAGTCACATTTTCATGTGAATTTGTTTAAGTTAAATTCGTCCGTCTTACTCGAATGATGTGAAATACCGATGTCTGCATGGCCTGTCTTATGCCTTTTGATATTTTATATGCTCTCCAATCAGTTGGACAGAAAACAGGTGAAGCCCAAGCACCTGGCCACTTCTGCTCCCACATTGCAGCTGGACTTAGCAGCCCAAGGGATGAGGTGACACCCACGAGGGAACTGGAGGTCAACCTGAGCAGAGGTAAGGGGCTGTTGTTACTTAGGGAAGACCTGAAGGGAAGTTCTCCGCAAATGCCACCTTATCTCTGTCTTTCATCTTCAAGTCCTTGTTTGATCCCTTTGCCCCTTCCTTCCTTCCTTCCTTCCTTCCTTCCTTCCTTCCTTCCTTCCTTCCTTCCTTCCTTCCTCCCTCCCTCCCTCTCCCTTCCCCCCTCTCTCTTTCTTTTTTTCTTTCTTTCTTTCTCTCTCTCTCTCTCTCTCTCTCTCTCTTTCTTTCTTTCTTTCTTCTTTCCTTCCTTATTTTTTGATTCTCATGTAATGGATAGGGATATGGTGGCAAAAAATGCCCCAGAGGTCTGAAGGAGAGCTTTGAAACTGACATTAGCTATAAATACTGTTTTTTAAAAATAAATTAATGTTTAAGATATAAAAACAAACAAACAAACAACATAAAAACCTCACTGGTCATATTCCATAGCCTTACTGACAGTGTGAATTTATCTTTGCTGACCAAGTAAGAGACGTTAAGAGCCCTAGCACACCATGTTTTACAAGGGTTCATGTAAACTTCTCAGTCTTTTGAGAATTAGGAAAGAATTCACTGTAGTCAGTGTGTAGTGGGACCAGTATCCCATCTTCCAGAGTGCCAACCAAACATCAAGTCAACGAACGTGACTCAATACATGTGGTCCTGTGTCCGTGATGGTGGGCTTCCTCATATGTGGTGAATGCTGTTTTAACTTTGTTTTGATTTGAATGTATGAGTGTGTGAGTTTGTGTGTGAGTGTGTGTAAGAGAGAGAGTGTGTGAGTGTGTGAGGGAGTGTGTGAGAGTGCGTATGAGTGTGTATGAATGTGTGTGAGTTTCTGTGAGTATGTGTGTGAGTGTGTGAGACTGTGTGTGTGAGAGAGTGTGTGAGTGTGAGAGTGTGTAAGTATGTGTGTGAGTGTTTGAGAGAGTGTGTGAGTGTGTGTGTGTGAGAGAGTGTGTGAGTATTGTGTATGAGTGTGTGTGAGTGTGTGTATAGTGCGTGAGTTTGTGAGAGTGTGTATATGTATGTGTGAGAGTGTGTGTGACTATGTGTGTGAGTGTGTGTATATGAGTGTGTGAGAGTGTGTGTGAGTGTGTGTGAGAGAATGTGAGCATGTGAGAGTATATGAGTGTGTGTGAGTATGTGTGTGTGTATGTGAGTGTGTGTATGTGTGTGTGTGTGTGTGTGTGTGTGTGTGTACTCGCTCTGTTCTCACTTTACCCCCTCTCCAGTGTCAAGTGAGAGCTACTATGCACTGAGACAACTTCATGGATGTTCTAGAAGGTACAAGAAAGGCTCCCTTCCTCTTTGGGCCGCACGAAGAGGGTCAGGTGACATTTGCAGAAGCAGTGGGTGACTCACAAGAGAGCAATGCTGAACTTTTGCAGTAGACGTTCCTTTACAGGAATTCTGGGGAGCCTCCCAAGCACACAGTAGAGCCACGGATGTTCCTGAGGAGGCCAGGCTCCAGTGACATTAGCTGTCTAGGTCATTGAAAGCAGTGGGCTGAGGGAGTGGGAAGTCACGAGGCTTTTCAGGCAGACACAGTACTGCCAGTTTCACACAGCCATACCATTGCTGGCTACAAGAATTCTGCCAGACATGGCTGCTAACATGTTATGGGTAAAAAAAAAAGTGAAAACTTAGAGAGGTGCTATTTCCAAAGTTCATGTAACTAGTAAACATAAGAACTACATGTCTACACACCAGGTTCGTCTGAACTCTCAGGTACGTGCTTATTGCATGGGATCTCATGATCCCGTTTATGAGTTCTACACATTTGCTTCTGTAACACATTTCCTCAAAGCTCATGAGATTGCCATAAAAATACACCTTTTACACACAGCTATTTCTGAGAAAGGCTTCAATTACCCATTCTTCCATGTGTTGGGAATGTTCTGTTTGACTTCTCTGTGCTGTGTGTGTTCATATAACAGCTCAGCTGGGTTCCATTAGCACATTTTCTCCTAGAATTTAAACAATATATTATTACGTGGAGACTAGGCAATTTTATTCCCCCGTTTTCGTGAATGCTCTTTAATTAATCCATAAATTCAGAGGCCAGGGTAGAAAAGCAGATGTCTTCTTTTAAATGTTTTCCGTAACTGACTTTTTAATAACATTTCATGCAGGAATCTGAGCAGCAACAGATAAGAAGAAACTTGGCATCCAGGGCTATTTCTCATTGTCCCAACATAGCTGTGTTCTGAGTCAGTCCCCGTCTACGGGGAAGTAGAAATGGGCTACATCTTTTTCCAGGGGAATTTTCTACATGACTTCTGAGCAGACAGTTTGGCTCTGCTTAGCCCTGCCAGTGCTCTTAAGGACAATCTTGGGAATTGCTAATTGATGCCTATAAAATGACCTATAAAAGCCAACCTTAGCCTCCCTGACAGACCTGGATTATTAAAATTTTACTTTGTAATTAAAGACAGGAGAACCCATCTTCTAAATATATGTTTTAAGGGGATATGTCAGCTCTTATTGCCCACCATCCATAGTTTGTGGTACTACTTGTCAAGAGGCTGAGATAGCCAACAAAAGCTGTGTTTGAAGAGGTCATAGAGCAATAACAACGTAGGGTCTGTGGGGGAAGCGGGGCAGAGAAGATTCTTTTAGGTTGTCACTGATAGTACCGCAGGTAAAATAGCCAAGCAAGCCTCTGCTCAGAGGGTAAAGGCACCCTGAACCCGGTGACCTGCATTTCCTCCCTGGACCCCACACGGTGGAAAGAGGGAACTGATCACTGAAAGTTGTCCCCTGAGCTCCATGTGGTCGCTGTGGTAGAAAATGATCACTCTCCACAATATTATAATAAAGAAATGCAAAAACATTTTAAGAATGCAAGTAAGAAAAGAAAACAAGGGCAGTTTCTTTGCTTATTGCATAGGTTTACATGATATACTGATAGAATCATTTATCACAATTCATAGAACCTACGAGTGTGTACATGTATCATCAAATCTGTCTCGGTGACTATCACCATTACAAACAGCCTGGCTGAGTGTATTAGTCAAGGTTCTCCAAGTAACAGAATTTATAGAATGCATCTCTCTATGTATAGAAAGGAAATTTATTAGAATGATTTAGAGACTGTGGCCCAGCTAATCCAACATTGGCTGCCTATGAACAGTGTGTCGAAGAATGCAGTCGCTGTTCAGGCCACAAGTCTCAGCTGGTCTATAGTATATGCCAGAATCTCAAAGAAGCAGGCTCTAATGCCATTGGAGGAACTTGCTAGGAAAAGTGAGAACAAACGAGCAAAGGGAAGGGAGAGAGAGCTTCTTCATTCCATGTCCTTGATAGAGGATGCCAGTGCAAGGTGCAGCCATAATTAAAGGTGAATTTTCCCACCTCAAAAGATCTAGATTAAAGGATTAACTTCGAACCTCAGTGATCCAGATTAGAAGTGGGCCTCCCACTTCAAATAATTCAATTAAGAAAATTAAGAAAAAAAAAACCCTCACAGGTGTTCCTAGTCGTTGAGTTTTAGTTAATTCCAGTTGTAGTCAAATTGGCAACCATGAACAGACATCACATTAAAGCCAATTATAAAAGAGACTTGTTTAACTGGACTTATGATTTCGGAGGGGTAGAGCCCATGGTGGCACAGTAAACACTCCAGCAGCTGAATGTCTGCATCTGGATTTGAAGGAGGCAGCAGAGAGAACACTGAGAATAGTATGAGACTTTGAAGCCTCAGAGCCCACTCCTAGTGTCACCTTCCTCCAGCAGGACAGCATTTTCTAATCCTTCAAAGCAGACCCCCCCACAGAGGGACCAAGTTTATATAAGCCTATGGGGGGGGATTCTCATTCAAACTACCAAGTTCTACTTCCGGGTCCCTGTAGGCTGGCAGCCATATCATAAAGCAAAATGCATTTAATCCAACGTCAAAGAACCCATAGTCTTTTACAGTCTCCACAAAGTTTAAAGTTCAAGTACCTTCTCAGAGTCAAGGCAATCTCTTAACTGTAACCCCCTACAAAAGCAAAGCCCCAATTCAATACTTCCAATGTACAGCAGCACAGAATATATATTACCATCGCAAAATGGGGGGATGGGGCAGTGTAAGGACATACTGAACCAAAACAAGGCCCAAATTCCAAATCCTATAGTCCCACATCTCATGTCAAAGGCTGAGACAGCTCAGCCTTTCCAGCTTTGCTGGCTGGAACACACTTCTCTCTTTTGGGCGGCTTCACTTCCTGTCTGAAGCTCTCCTTGATTCAGGGGTCTCCCTGCCACACGCTTGGCCTCAGCGGTTCTCCTTGATTGTAGACAATGATCTTCTGTCTTCCTTATTCTATGTCTGCATGACTCTAAAGCTGGAACCATGTGGACCAGAGTGCCAGGTTCAGATCCTGCTTGGGATGGAGCCTGGCCTCTTTCTTGATTTCTATTTCCATAAGCTTTCCTTTGTTGTTGCTTAGTAGGAGCATAAAATTCCTCAGGTATTTTTCGCTTTAGAAATAAAAGGTTTATTTGGGCTGGGCCTTGCCCTGATGGTGCCCCTTCCTTTATTTCAGTTTACACCAGGCCTTGTCTTCTCTCTTTCAGCACACACCTTAGCGACAACACTTAGTTTCCTAGTTCTCTTTTCCCTCAGCTGAAAGTTTAGCATTTCTTCTTGTCCTGCTTGCTTTTTCTAACTGTAGCTCTGCATAATGGTGATTTCCGATAACCATGTGGCCATCACTATTAGGCTATCTTGAATCTCTCTTGCCAATGAAACTAATCCATTATGTTTCAATTTTGCCTCAGGCAAATTTTTAGGGCTAGGGCAAACCGTAGCCACAGGTTTTGCTACTACAGCAGAGGAGTGGTCTCTGGCTCAGCTGCTAGTGATGCTCCACCCTGGTCCTGAAACCTCTTGAGCTGGGCCTCCCTAGCCAACAGCTCTCTCGGCACAACTGTCTTCCATGTTCTTACTAGGTTGGCCCATTAAGCTCCATTTACAGCACCCAGCCACTTGCCTGGTCCAAAGTCCCAAAGTCTTCCACATTTCTCCCCAAACTGGCATGGTCAAGTTTATCACCGCGATAGCCCACACCCTGGTTCTGTCTTAGTTACTTTGCAGTTGCTGTGGAGAGACACCATGACCAAGGGAACTGGTATATGAAAGCATTTGCTTAGGCTGTTATCTCAGATGGTTAGAGCGCTTGATGGCAGAGCAAAGGCAGGGTAGGGAAAACAGCTGGGGGCTCACATCTTGATCTGTAATTGGAGACAGAGAGATTGTTTGAAATCTCTAACCCTGTCCTCCAAAGTCACACCTTCTAATCCTTCCCAAGTAGTTCCAACAAGGAGTCAAACCACATGACCAAGTATTCACTATCATCCAAGTCACCACAGTGTCCATTTTGGTGATTGTGGGTTCCTATACGTGTGCTTGAGTGTCCATGCACACCTGTAGGTCAGAGGTCACCCTTGGTTGTCATTCCTAAATGAAGTTTCCACCCTGTTTTATGTGTTGTTGTTTGTGTTGTTTTGAGACAGGATCTCTTACTGAACCTGGCTCATCCAGTAAGTAAGGATGAGTGGCCATCAACCTCCAGGGATCCAGCCATTCCCCTGATTCCTGGTACTTGTTTACAGGTGTGAGCTACCATACCTGGGATTTTTTCTTCTTATTATGGAGCATGGATATGGAACTTAGGTTCTTGTAGGGCATAGTATGCCTCACTGACTGACTATATTCCAAGCCCTGGCTTTCCTTTATAAATGAAAAATATTAGAGTACTTGACCTAGAAAGACGCTCCAGTGAGTAAAGACATTTCCTGCACAAACTCTTAGACTGGGTTCCTCCCCTGGAACCCATGTGAAGGAGGAAGAAGAGAACCGATTCCACAGAACTATCCTGTGATCTCCTCTGGTGCTGTTCTGGACATATACAGACAAGAATCACAAATAAAATAAAACTATTTAATGAAACAATAAAGCAATAAATACTGTTAAGATACTATTTCTGAAGCTCCTGTTACTCTGGGTAGGAGTCTTCAGCTAGAAAATGTAAAGATATTGGGTATTTGTTGGCACCTGCTTTCTCGTTTTCTGACGAATCATTCAGAAGGATGCAGTTCGTGGTAAATTCGGCAAAATTCAGGGTCTTTCAGAGACACAGCAGACCTGTGGAGCCAGATTTTCCAGAGAACTTGTGAAACACTTCAGCCATGTTGTTTACGTTGGACACTTTCCCACACCAGAAGGTCCCGTCTCTCTCTGTATTCCTGTTTTGCCAGAGACGATCAGTTTCTGAACATAGATGGCAACCTGACACAGAATACAAACTGGTGTCTTTAGTGAAATCAAACCTCAGCCGTAAAGATTCTTGATGGCTGAATCTCAACCAGGGCAGCTTTCAGGTACTGGGAGTGGTGTATGATCTGACTGATACTCCTGGAGCCTGGCCATGTGACTAAATGGCCACTGAGTTCCTGTCACTCTTGACATTGCAGGTAACAATGAATTTTAAGAGAAATAAATACTTTTCTGCTGATCGGAATACATTGTCTCAAATTTTAATATTTGAAATGAAACTACTCTCTCTCTCTCTCTCTCTCTTACATGTCAGATACATGTCATATGTACATATGACATGTTACATGTCAGATAGTATACTGATTTTAAAATATAAGAATATTGAGGAGTTGTTGCGTTCACTCATTTCACCAAGTCCAGTGTTCAACTTGTATATTAACTTGTCTGTTAAATTTGAAAGCATTTCTTTTCATAATGAAGAAAAGACATTTTCATTGATTCATGTGAGTTAGCAACGTTGTATCAACTGAAGAAAGATTTGATATTTAATTTCAGCGTCCTCTTGGTGACATATGAGGTCTCACAAATATCCCATAAGTTTCCGTACTGTGTTTTCTGCTTTACCTGCTTTGATCAAGGTTATCTTGTGTCTCCTTTTATTTTTTTGGTGCCAGATGGAAATTCAGTGGTGGAGGAAAGCGCAGCCATCAGCTCACATGAGCGACCTGAGCAAGTTGCACCGGAGGCACGCGCACCAGGGAAGGGATCAGCCTTGCAGGAAGATGAACGTGCCCAGCCTGCGGATGCTGACGCAGATGCTCAACTGAGGAAGAAAGCAGAAACCGAGGAAGCTGAAGCCCACCATACCCCGGATGCTGACGTGGGTGTTGGGCTGAGGGAAAAAGCGGGGATTGCAGAGGTCTCCTTGGGGGAGAGGAGCCCCAGAGAAGAGCAGCCAGTGTTAGCAGAGCAGTCTTCAAAGAAAGGAGAGCACCCTCTGAGCATGGCTACTGAGGCTGAGGCAGAGGCAGGCGCAGAAAGACATAGCAGGCATGATGGGAAACAGTTCACAGTCACAGGAAAACTAGCAGTGGTCGACTCAGTGTATCTAAGTGGAGACCAAGCTCTGGATGGTCAGAGGGATGTGGACTCTGACAGGCAGACAGTGGTGGAGAAAGGAAAAGCAGTTTCTGAAAGTGAGCAGATATTGGAAAAGGCAGCGCTCACAGAGAACTCATTGCTCAGCTCAGAGATCCTTGGGGATTCAGCAATTCCAAAAGAAGCAGAGACTCCTGAAATGGAGGTGGGCTCCTCAAGACCAGATGGGGACCAAGGCACAGAGGGAGCCCTTAGAGAGCTAGAGGACATGGAGTCCGTGGCGGACACAGCACCAGAGGGAGAGGATGGTTTTGAAGAGGCAATACTTGGAAGAGAGAATGCTGCTACAGGGAGGAAGGGAGTTCTAGAAGCAGAAGCACCCTTGAGTTCCTCAGCAGGAGAGGCAAGCTCCACGGAGGTTGTCCAGGGCAACCCTGAGGAACTCTGTCAAGAAGACACAGCAAGGGAGGGAGTTACAGTTGGCGCAGAATCTACCCTGGAACAGGATCCCAGAGCGGTGCTCCCTGGGGAATCTGCTGCAGCTGGAGAAGGGAAGAAAATTGAGAGGCCCTCCACACCTGTGAGGGAAACTGGATCTGAAAGAGAAGCAGAGACAGGGGCCAAGGTGTTGATGATGGCAGAGATGTTAGAAGAGCAAAAAGTTAAAGGGGAAGAGAAGGGCACAGACAAGGGAGAGAGATATGGGGAGGAGGAGGAGGGCACAGAGACAACGGAAACCAGGTCTGGGGAAGAGGCCCATGCATCCCCCAACAAGATCGAGCCTGATACTAAGGACATAGATCCCACAGGGACAACTGAGTTGAGTAAGGACCCAAAGCTTCTAGAAGATTCACCCAAAGAAAGAACCATCACCTTGTATGAAGCAAGACTTCAATTTGGGGAGTCACTAGACGAGAATGAAGCCACAGTCACAGAGCACAAAGAAGGAGAAGAGGCCCCAGGCCAGGAGAGTGAGGCTCCATTGCAGCAGAGGAAGCCACTAAGCCATCATGGAAAGGGCTTGCTAGGAGACCCTGGACCTGAGCCAGCAGGCAGAACTCTGGCACCTGAGAGTATTTTCACAGTTGGAGGTCAAGAGGTGGCTTCCAAGGAGGTAGGCAGCCTTGAAGGACCAGAGAGACCGGATGAAGAAGGGTCTTTGCAAGTGCAAAGAGGGGACATCGTGATGGCACACGGAGAGCTTCCAGAGGAAAGACTCCCCATAGGAGAGGTGTCCGGTAAAGAGAGTGAGGGTGAGAAGCCGGAGGAAGAGGGATCTGCGGATAAGGAGCACCCTCCAGGGACGTTGACTGGCAGCCTGGCAGGGCAGGACACAGTCAAAGATGAGGAGGATCCATGTGGAGGAGGTGTTGAAGAAATAGCTTCAGAGCAGACAGAAGTGTTAGCAGCGTCAGTGTCAAATTATGGGGACAGTGTGGACTCCTCCTCCTCTGCAGTTGTCCAGAAGGAAGCTGGGAACAGAGCAGGTGAAGCTTCAGGAGAAACAGCAGCTGAGGAAAGGGTGACGACTGAGGACATGACACGCAGGACAGAGAAGGTGGCAGTGGAAAAGGAAGTGACATCAACAGGGGCTGCAGAGATCACACAGGAACTGTAGGCTCCTGAAGTGCAGGACACGGAGGGAGAGGAAGGGAAGGCCTCTCAGCGTGACTGGGGAGGAGGCAGGAACGAGGGATGTCAGGGAGGAGCAGCTAAAGAGTTCAGAGGACCAGTGCCTCGAAGAGAGACAGAACTCACCAGTGTCTAGGGTAGCACTTCCCAGGAAGCTGGAGTTTCCTAGAACCCTGTGGGAAAAAACTGGAGAAACTGCACAGAGAAAGCGAGCGTGCAGATGCTCCCTGGAGCACAGCGGAGTCTACTGCGCTCCTTACTTGCAGCCTTCAGTTGCAGCTGCTCATCCTCACGCTGGCCTGAAGGGCCAAGTGGACAGGGGAGGACTAGAGCTCACAGAGGAGGCTGCTCGGCTCTCTATGTGGCTGTTATTCTTAGGGTATCCTTGAAAATGGGGTTCCCTGAAGTGAGATCTGTGTGTCTCACAAGGCTCAAGGATAAAATACACAATACACAGAGAAGTCGGACATGGAGGAGCTGCGGGAAAGGGAAGAATATGAGCGAAATATATTGTATACTAAATTAAAAAGATGTACAGAGAAGAATGTGCCCCCAGCTACAAAGCCCAGAAATAAAGGATTAAACTCACTCTCGAGTTCTTTCCTATTAACTTTTTCATACACACGCATTAATGTGCTTTGATCAAATCCACCACCTCCTCTCCCCTCCAACTCCTTCCAACACCCCCACCACCGCTTTAGGGTTTTGAAGGATGAAACAAAGTTTGCCTGTGGTCATTTAATCTTGTAAGACTTCTATGCTTTTACCTCTGATGTTTTACAATGTTTAATAAATATATATATCTTTCATACATAGATTACAAATACTTAATATTCAATGTTTAGTATACATATATTTGATAACGTTTAAACACCTAAGTTCTGAGTAGGAAGCAAACATGTCCTGCTGTTCCCGACATACCATGGCATCCTTAGTCCTCAGCTCCTCTTATTTTGAGTGATTTTATCCACAATTCTATCTTTCCCCCCAGCATATTGTAAATTGTCAAGGTTGAAGAGGCAGAGTGGAAATGGCTGAGGCAGGCAGTTCACCAGGACCTCAGGTTGTCTTTTCACCCACTGCTGGCCTTCCTTGGTCTTGGTCTGTAGGCGCTGGTCAGGAGGCTAGTCAACATGGTGAGAGGGCTTTGGTAGATTTGCCCCCACGGAAGCTGTGGCCCCAAACAGAGACTGGGAATTGAACGTTCTGCACAACTATGTTTAAATTGAAATGACGGTTTTCAAACATTTGACTTTTACCAAAGATTACCAGAAGGTGAATCCTGATGGTTTGAATTTCTTTAAATCACTTTTTTAATTTTACAATTAAATATTATCCCCCTTCTAATGCATGGGGTTCTGTCTTCCTCACCCGTTCTTCGGAAGGGAGCTGCTCAGTGTCTTCCATGTCCACTTAAAACTGAAGTTTGCCTCAAGCCTTTCCAAGTCCTTCCAGGAAATGGATTCCACGGCATAGCAATTCACTTTCTCTTGGAAACGTTAATTATTCCTATTTACACCTGGAGTGTGTGTGTAATGTAGGAACTTTCCTGAGAATACCTTTTGTTTGTCTGCCTTTGTGGCCCATTTGCTCTGATAGACTAGCAAAGCGTGGCTTTCAGCATTTTATCCTGGGGTGTCATTTATCAGGCTGCTCAAATGCAAACAAAAAGTAAGTACTTGGTCTAGGTAATTGCAATGTAAATGTAACGATTGTAATGGGAAGACATGGTCCATCACACAGTCTCTGGAAAGACTTGGTCTATCACATACACTCTGGGAAGATGTGGTCCATCACACACACACACTGTGGGAAGAAGTGGTCCATCACACATACACACTGGGAAGGCTTGGTCCATCACACACACACTGGGAAGACTTGGTCCATCATACACTCTCTGGGAAGATGAGGTCCATCACACACACTCTGGGAAGACGTGGTCCATCACACACTCTCTGGAAAGACTTGGTCCATCACACACACTCTGGGAAGACATGGTTCATCACACACACTCTGGGAAGACGTGGTTCATCACACACACTCTGGGAGGACGTGGTCCATCACACACACTCTGGAAAGATGTGGTCCATCACACACACTCTGGGAAGACGTGGTCAATCACACACCCTCTGGGAAGACGTGGTTCATCACACACACTCTGGGAAGACGTGGTCCATCACACACACTCTGGGAAGACGTGGTCAATCACACACACTCTGTACTTGATGTCATCCTGAAGGTCTGCAGCCTGTGCTCCTTCTAGGGTTCTGCTATTTCAAGCCTGAGTGATCACAGTCACTCTACAGATATAATATCCTAGTTGGGTATCAACGTATTCTGAGCATCAAGTTTTCTTGAAGACAGCCATATACCATGTTCCAAAGCTCACATAACTGACCCCATTTCAACAAGTAAGGAGATGAGAATTATCCAAGGCAGCACGTCCCCAGCCAGGAGGGGAATCAACCTTTCATGGGGTACTTTTATGACTGAACTATTTTCCCTACTATAAAGCTTCAGATATACTTGGTTATAAATGAACCTAAGTCTCAATATTTTGTTTTCTTTATTCTATGTGGCCAAAGTTGTGGCCCCCTTTCCCGAGTCACCAAACAGTCATGCTGTTTGCCATCTGCTCTGTGTTGCTATTGTTTAGGTGTCCTGTTGTTACAGATGGTTTTAATTTTGAGAAACAATGGAGATTTTTGATAATCAATGATGTACCAGAGCAGACATATTGAAACAGGGAGTGGACGGATCACTTTATCACAGACATTATCACCTAGCGTTTGCCACCTGCCCTCCTCATCATTAGAAACTGCATAGGGCAATAGAGGAGGGGCTAGAAACTGCAGTTTTATCACACCTTGGAGGTGATTCTAATGTGTACCAAAGCCTGGACACTGCTCAGATGGATCACTATTTACACTAAAGCCTCATGGTGGTTGGAAAACAGACTGCAGGAGCATTGTCAAGCTCATCTTGGTCTTCTTGTCTTTTGGGACAAAGCATACAGCATGTCTTCCTGTATGGTTATTCTTAAGGAGATGGCACTCACCATAAAGGTGATGAATCCAACCTTCAACTCATTTAAGTATGATTGTATGGAGTGTATTTGGGACTTGCCTCTCCTGCTGAAGAACATGTTGACTGAATCTGACAGCAGCCTCCCTGCCCTATTCTCTGATCAATGTCTGGATCCCATCTACTCCACATCTGGTTCCCCAGCATTATTGCCACCACTCTAGGCCTTCACCCCACATTATTTTCCATGCCACAGAGCACATTGAACAAAAGCACTGTTGAAAAGGATTTGAAAAACTTGTTAATCACTTTGAAAAATGAGTTTTGTACAATGTGCTAAATGGAAATTGCCTTGGATTATTTTTATATCTAACACCTCCCTCCGGCCCAGCCTGTAGCACAATTCTGCAATCTGCATGTGGGCTTAACTGTGAAATTCAGTGTTGCGTTGTTTTGATTGAGTGAATTTTATCTTTGCAAATATTACATCAATAAAATTATGTTTAGCGAAACTGACTTTTCCATAGTTTCTTTGCTATTAAAAAATAAATAATACATTTAACAGGCATAATAGGAGGGTTTTCTTGGAAAACAAGATTAGCCTTTCAATATATTTTGTGTTACTTTCTTGCAAAAATTCGAATGATAAGAGCAGACAAAAGAGACATAGTCTTATTGGGCTATGCTTTTAAGTGTGTTTGTAGACTGCCTGCATTCATCTGCATCTTCTGTATTCTTGGGATAGTGCCAGAGAGGAGACGCTCCCACCTCTTCACCCACAAATGGAAATAGAGGCTAGTGGAGTTAAGTGCCTGTCTAAATCACAATTTCAGGTCATCTAACCTGTGCTTTAGACTAGTTATCAAAACACTATAAATTACGTCTAGGAAGGTTCTAGATGTGTGTACTAAGTGCGAGTCTCCACATGTTTCTGCTGAAGGAGAAAACATCTTACTAACACATCTTCTAATAATCATAAGGTGGAACTGTGTTTCCAACCAGTGTTCAGCAAAGAACAAAGAGGTCTGCATGATTCAAAAGATGACCGATTGCCAAGGAAACTTAGGAAGAATTAGGTTTTGTGATTGAATTTTGAGGAAAACCTTTCCCATCACTTTATAAACTTCCATGAGGTAAATTTACAGCTTAGGTGAGTTCTCTACCCTCCTTATGATCAATAATTTGCCACAGTTCTTGCCCTTGGAAAATGATTGTTTGAACAAAGAAGAGAAAAATCTCAAAGGAATTTATTTAGTGGGTGAAATATTTGAACAGGCTCAAGGACAGCCCAAGAGATGCCGCTTATGACCTTGGGTAATATTTCCTCCAGTCCTTTTCTATACTCAATTTTGTCATTAAAAAAAAAAAAAGGAATTCCCTGTCATCGTGGTTTACAGAAGAGGTGCAAGAGAATAGAGCTAAATAAAGCTGGGACTCTTTAAGAATCTCCCAGACTAATGCTCCAGAATCCACTCTAACGGATCCTTCCTTTGATTTCCTTTTGTTCCATTTTCTTTCTCCCTATACACCCAGATGACAGGAAAGCTGTGCCTTCCACAATAGCTGGAGATTCAGCTCAAGAGATGAAAGTGTGGGGTAGCTGATAGTCAAATGACTTCTATAATTCCTTCCAGAATGCTCAAACTTTTTAGTATATCTGTGACCCTTGCAATAATCTGTAATGTGGCTGTATACCACTCTTATAAGGGAAAAGGAGATATATAGATATCTGTGACTCGGACACTAATTTGGCATGTCTTTGTATACATGTTTTATGGGGGAAAGGAGATCTATAGAAGGTTCTGAGACAAGCTGCTATCAAACTATCTGCTTTGCGGATGTCTCCTGGTCTTTGTTCAGTGCATACTCACAATTCAAGGCATAGTAAGGACTCATACATACTGGGAGAAATCTCCTAGGTCATCAGAAGTCTGCGTATGGTTGTAACACAGGGATCTTCAGACTGGTCTAAGGATACCCACAAAGGGAGATGGATGTTTTTATGGTGTACTGTCAAGAGTAGACCGAGGTGCATGATGTAGGGATTGAAAGGGGACTAGCTTTAATGGTTAATTAACAAATCCACCTGGAAATGGGCTCCAATGATGTGCTTTCCATGGAACTAATTGAGGACCAGATCGAACTTTCAGTTGATAATCTATTAAAATATTATATTTTAGTATTTTATTGTCCTGTGAATTTTGTTAAATTAGTCACAAGGAGTTTCTATGAAGAGCATTGCTACCCAATGTAATAAGTTCCTTCGTTCCCACCTACTTAATATGTGATATGCATAAATATTGTGTTTTTGCATTTATAAATATAAGACACAGAGTGGAAGAAAACAGATGCTAAATGCTCTCATTCTAGCAAGAAATAGCATTTGCTCCCAGCTACATAAACTAATTAAAAACAGAAGCCGCCGTTCTCAGAGAGACATCTTTTTAGGTTTTTGTGAGATGTTTATTAAAATTTATGATGTATATATGTGGTCTTGATCAAATGTGGACTTCTAATAATCCCAATGGTGATCAATCTAGAAGAAATTTAATACAAAGAGCCTT